CCACCCACCCCACCCCCTCCCTCTCCCCCCACCCCCTCAATACCCAGCAGAAACTATTTTGCCCTTATCTCTAATTTTGTTGAAGAGAGAGTATAAGCAATAATAGGAAGGAACAAGGGTTTTTGCTAGTTGAGATAAGGATAGCTATACAGGGAGTTGACTCACATTAATTTCCTGTGCATGTGTGTTATCTTCTAGGTTAATTCTTTTTGATCTAACCTTTTCTCTAGTTCCTGGTCCCCTTTTCCTATTGGCCTCAGTTGCTTTTAAGGTATCTGCTTTAGTTTCTCTGTGTTAAGGGCAACAAAGGCTAGCTAATTTTTTAGGTGTCTTACCTATCCTCACCCCTCCCTTGTGTGCTCTCGCTTTTATCATGTGCTCAAAGTCCAATCCCCTTGTTGTGTTTGCCCTTGATCTAATGTCCGCATATGAGGGAGAACATTCGATTTTTGGTCTTTTGGGCCAGGCTAACCTCACTCAGAATGATGTTCTCCAATTCCATCCATTTACCAGCAAATAACAACATTTCGTTCTTCTTCATGGTTGCATAAAATTCCATTGTTTATAGATACCACATTTTCTTGATCCATTTGTCAGTAGTGGGGCATCTTGGCTGCTTCCATAACTTGGCTATTGTGAATCGTGCCGCAATAAACACGGGTGTGCAGGTGCCTCTGGAGTAACCTGTGTCACAATCTTTTGGGTATATCTCCAAGAGTGGTACTGCTGGATCAAATGGTAGATCGATGTCTAGCTTTTTAAGTAGCCTCCAATTTTTTTTCCAGAGTGGTTGTACTAGTTTACATTCCCACCAACAGTGTAAGAGGGTTCCTTTTTCCCCCGAATCCTCGCCAACACCTGTTGTTGGTGGTGTTGCTGATGATGGCTATTCTAACAGGGGTGAGGTGGAATCTTAGCATGGTTTTAATTTGCATTTCTTTTATTGCTAGAGATGGTGAGCATTTTTTCATGTGTTTTTTTGCCATCTGAATTTCTCTTTTGAGAAAGTTCTGTTTAGTTCACTTGCCCATTTCTTTATTGGTTCATTAGTTTTGGGAGAATTTAGTTTTTTAAGTTCCCTATATATTCTGGTTATCAGTCCTTTGTCTGATGTGTAGCTGGCAAATATTTTCTCCCACTCTGTGGGTGTTCTCTTCAGTTTAGAGACCATTTCTTTTGATGAACAGAAGCTTTTTAGTTTTATGAGGTCCCATTTATCTATGCTAACTCTTAGTTGCTGTGCTGCTGGGGTTCCATTGAGAAAGTTCTTACCTATACCTACTAATTCCAGAGTATTTCCTACTCTTTCCTGTATCAACTTTGGAGTTTGTGGTCTGCAATTACTACTTTCTAAAGATAACAAAATGTGTGTTAAATGCCAGTTGGGTACACTGGTGAGACCTTCAGAGTTTGAGTGTATTTAGCTCCAATTACAAAGGTGTGAAAGTGAAAACTTCATCAACCTGGCCTAATAAACTTTCCCCCATACTGAGGTCTTATTGTGACAACATTACATAAACATTGGGGAAAATAAAAATATTAAGCAAACCACCTAGGAAGATTCACAAGCCCTTAACTCCAAGTAAGTTATCCTTATCTCAGAAATATTTCTTTAAAATACTGCTCATTTATGACCCTGTCATCTTTTCCTCCTCTTCTTCATCTGCAGTTTCATATCCCGGTTTTCATGGTCAATGCTAGTATGGCTGTAGTATCTATCTGAACGCTACGTAAAATGACTCATTCTTTACTGTTTTCTTCAGATACTGGTTTCATTTCCATACCTCTGACACCTTTCATCATTTTTCTATTTTTCTTATAGAGTATTTATTTCTGTTTATTTTATCCAAACTGAATTTGACTGTTCTGACATATTTGGATACAATTAGTCCTTGATATCTGGACTCTATGTACATCCATGGGTTTGACCATGGATTGAAGATATTTGAAAATAAGAATGCCTTTGTGTTGAATATGTACAAACCTTTTTCTTTGTCGTTATTCCCTAAGCAATACAGAGTAACAATTATTTCCATAGTGCTTACATCTATTAGGTATGCTAAGCAATCCAGAAATGACTTAAAGTAAAAGGTTATATGCAAATACTATGTGCCATTTTACATAAGGGACTTGAGTATCCAAAGATTTTGGTATCTGCAGAGGTTCTGGAACCAATTCCCCTCAGATATCAAGGGACAACCATACTATTAAAAGTAATTAGGGCTGAGGGTGTGGCTCAAGTGGTAGAACACCTGTCCAACAAGCAAGAAGCCCTGAGTTCAAACCCTAGTACCACCAAAAATAAATAAATAAAATAAATAAATAAATACATACTAGGCGGGGACTGGTAGAACACTAGCCTAGCATACACACTGGGTCCAAACCTTCACACGGAAAAAAGAAAAGAAGGAAACAAGAACTAAATTCAATTACTACTATACTCAGGCCCAAATCTTTCTTCTCACGGGATGAAATGGAGTGACACCCCCAGAGGCAAGAACCAATGCTACTTGCTCACTCCCCTCAACAGCCCAATGACAAGCAGCGGGCAGAAGGATTCACTGGCTTGAGGACTGGAGTCAAAATCCATTTCTTCATGTTGGACACAATTCTGGGCACCAGCCATCATCTGCTAGACCAGTTCTCAACCAGTATGATTTTCCATGGGACAGTCAGCAATGTCACAAGTGGGAAGGGGTTGCTAGCATCCAGAAGTGCCGACCTGTGATGCTGCAAATAGTAATACCATACAAGAGAGCCCTGCAACAAAGAATTACTGGGTCACAAATGACAGTGCTGTTCAGGATGAGAAACTGTGACCTAGAATGTGCCCCAATTCTGAATAAAGATACAGAACAGCTAGACTATGGTCCTTGCTCTACGGTGATGTGCAAGGACCCCAGGTTAAGGGGAGGAAGAGAAAAATACAGCATTAGTCATTTTATGTACATTATCTCACACTTTAACCAGACTTTAAAAAAATCACATATTCTTATTTTACACAGCAGGCTGGACACTGGGAAATTAGGAAACTAGGATGTTAGGGAAGGAGAGAAATCAAACCAAACCTGTGTCATTCCACAAGGCTACAAAGCCTTGTGACTATGAGCAAGACACTGGCCTTCTCTAAACCTCCATTTAGAAAATAAACGAAGTTTTCCTTTAAAAATAGAATTCAGACAAGTATACACATTACCAGGTTGCTCATCACTTTTAAGAATTAAGATTAAATGGCCACATTGTATCTCCACATAGCCCAGCAACAGCTCTTAAATCCTAAGAGGTGACAAAATAACTATTTTAGTATGAACTCCCTAAATATTTGTAATCAATAGGCCCTGAATGCTCAAGACTATATCAACAATTTTTTGGGGGGTGTGGGGGGTAGTGGAGTTTGAACTCATGGCCTTGCACTACCACTGGAACCATATACCCAGTCCTTTTGTTGTTTTAGGTTCCTTTTTCAGGTAGGGTCTCCCTTTTTTTTTTTTTTTTTGCCTGGGGCTAGTCTCAAAACTCAGTCCTCCTACCTGTGGGATTCATAGCTGGGATTACAAGGGTGAGCCACCACACCCACTATATATCAACAACTTTGATTAGGTTCTCTCCACAACTAGGAGCAGAGGTCATGAGCAGAACTAGGAGAAAGAATGTTGATTACAAATCCCTTACTGCTAGTGGAAAACATCTCTGTTCACTATTCTTTTAGTACTGTATTACACGGAGGCTAGCACGCTATCATTCACACTAATGATGCAAGAAAATCATTCATTTCAATGTAAGGTTCTAACAACAGAACAAGAAACATATCCCAGAGAATCTGTCAGTTTTTGACAACATTCAAGTTCAAGACTTGGGACCTGTTCTCTCTGAAAGTCACCATTATCAATGAGGCATCTAAAAGTGGGTTGCACACTTTTTGTTTTCTTCTTGAAACTGTTAAATACCAAGGTACAGTTTCCCTGTGTTTCAAAAATGTCTCTTTTCTTGCGTTCTTAATATACTATAAACTGTAACTGCAAGTAGTTCCCAAACTCAGTTCAAATGTAAAAGCAAAACAGATCAAATAAGCTAAAAACTATCTAAAATAAAAATAAGTTTCCAAAGAATCCTTAAAAGACTGGCTTTAAATATCACACAATGTATCCATTTATCAAAACATCATATAGTACCCCATTAAAAGGTACAAGTTTTAGGTTTTCTATGTATCCTTTTAAAAAATAAATTTAATAAACAGACTGGCTTTAAGTAAATGTGTTGCCTGACAATTAAAAAAATAAAGAGAAACATAAAATGTTCTGGTGGAACGGCAAGAACTGATAATCGTGAATGTTTTCATCAATTTAGAAAAGGATTTGTATTAAGTGTCATTTTACTGACTATCCAAATTACATCTTTCACCTTAAGCATTTTGACACTTCCATCAGTTTTCTAAAAGAGAGGGTGGATTGTTTTTCTATGTTTTTAATAGACTTGCTTCTCAAAAGACTGAATTAGATAAAACCTGGTAGGAGAAACCTATTATGAACCGCTCCTTGTCATCAATAAAGCATGTGAGTAAGTACCAGGCTGTGTGTCACTGTGCGGATGACAATCCCGCCAGACTTTACACGAGACAACGGCTTACTAAAACCAAAACCCATTTTTCTCTTCTCTGAACATCGGCCAGCTTTTGACTTTAGAGGCCTGTTTGTGGTCCGAGCAAATCCCAACGCATGGGTACCATAATGCTATTTTTTCACGTCCAGCCCCACCCCCCCCCGTCATCATTTAGTCTATGTATCCGCTTCTCCCTCTTCATAGTCGGGGGTGGGGGTGGGGGAGGGGACCCTGTCCATCTAGACGCGCGAGCTGGGTCGTGCGTTCGGGTCGCGCCCGCATCCTCCGCGGCGCAGGTGAGAGGCTGCGGCAGAAGAGCGCACGCCCGCCCGCCCGCACCTCCCCACAGGACCCGTCCCCGCCTCGGCAGGGGGACCGCGCGGGAAGGGGGCCCGGCTCACCCGCGGTGGCCGGCGGCTCCGCGTCGTCGCCGGCGGCGGGCGCCAGGGTGACGGCGCCGTCCCTCCAGACGCGGATCTGCGCGGCCGAGCGCACGCGGCGGCGCGGCTGGCGGCGGGCGGCGGCGCGCAGGGAGCCGCAGCACTGGTAGCACACGGCCCACGCCTGCTCCTCGTTGATGGGCTGGTTGTACAGCCGCAGGATGTCCTCCAAGCTCAGCGCGTCCGCAGCGCCCGCCGCCGCCCCGGCCTCCGCCGGCTCCGCGCCGCCGCCCGGGCCCGCCGGCTGGGCCATCCCGCAGTGGGCGCCGCTCGGCCGCTCGGCCGCCCGTGCCGTGCGCCGCGTCCGCTCAGCTCAGGAGCATCGTCTTCGCGCGCCGCCGCCTCCTCATCCCCGAACCGTCGCCGCCCAACCCGGCCGCGCGCCGCCGCGGACTAGGCGGGGAGGAGGCGGGGGCCGGCGGCGTGGGCGAGCGCGGGGCGGCGAGGACGCCGCGGCGATCCGTGCTGGCCAGGCCGCCGCCGGCCGGTAGCTACGCGATGGCGTCCGCTCGCCCCGCCCCGCCTGCTCCGCCCCGCCCCCGAGGGCCGCGCGGTCTCGGGGCGCCGCGCGGCGGGGAGGGGCGACGCGGACCGAGGGGCGCATGGCCGGCCGGGGGGCGGGGCGCGAGGGGCGGAGGGACGCACGCCCCCGAGGCTGCGCCGGCAGCCGCTGCGCGATCGCGAGGCTCGGTACGCTCCGGGCGGCGGCGCTGCCCCTCCGAGCCCGCCGGAACACCACCCTGCAAGCGGGAGGTCACTGTCATTGATATTTCCTTGGACTTGAACCCAGACCCGAGTGAATGCCTAAGAAAACAAAGGTCAGCTGAAGCGCTAAGGCCTCCGCTGGCTCGGGCCCTCCACACGGGGCCCCCAAGACTGCGACTTGAGTCTCTTCACGATTTCAACTCACCACCCGGTGCCATAACTGTCCTTGCCCCTACTCCACTCATTTTTAGATTTTTATTTATTTTTTAGGGCAGGGTTTCACCATGTAGCCCAGGCTGGCCTTTGAACCTGAGATCCTACTGCCTGGGCTTCCTGAGTGAAGAGATTACAGGGTTTATTTGGTATTCACTCTGGACTCTCACCTTCAAGGAGGGCTGGATCTTAGGCAAGTTTTCTTCTCTGACTTCTCCCAAAAGCTTAGAACAGGGCCTGGGATGTGGTGCATAATTTGCAGATGTCATTAAAGCATCCTTGGATTTATTTGCTGCAGCATTGAGCACCCCTCACGACGGTAATGGCTCCAGGAGCCACACTTAGCCCAGTCGGCTCACACTACATCACGGTGGCAATTAGCCATGGAACCAAAGAACTCTGGGGGGCTCGCTGTTTCTAATTCTTAAAACCAACACTCGTCGGCAAATGACTTTAATTGGTAACATTTATTTCAGGCTACTCCGTGTGAAAACCCTAGAGTTGAAAGCGTCAGCCAAGTAAGAAAGTTATAGTGAGTACCATGTTCCTATTAGACGCTGCATGTTAGCCAATTACCTCTTGTAGTAAAAATCACAACAGCTTTTTGTTAATGTGTAAGATACCAACATACATACAGCAGGAGTGGGAAGAGGAAACGCACGAGGCCAGAAAGGAAGAGAAAGAAATGGAGATAGGAGAGGAGGAAAGGGCTCCCTCGGCCCCCCGTAATGTCACTACAGCAGATAATTAAACCCCTTAATAAAGAATCAATTATAGGTTCATAATCTGAGCTGTAAAAATGTATTTATGTGAGCCAAAGCTCCGTAAGGCAATGACCTTCCCGATTCCAGAAATTATGTGTGCCTATATAACCTCTCTTGATTAAAAACATACATTCCCAAATTTTCCTTTTTTTTTTTTTTTTTGAGCGAAAGAGCAGAGCTTTGTTGACCAGAGAGGAAGAGAAGAAAAGCCCGCCGCGGCGGGAGGATGGGGGCGGGGGCGGGGATGTTCCGGGAA